ATATATATATATATATATATATGGATATATATTTATATATATATATTACATATATATATATATATATATATTATATATTATATTTATATATATATATATATACTCATATATATATATATTCATATATATATATATTCATATATATATATATTCATATATATATATATATTCATATATATATATATTATTATTATATATATATATATATATATATATATATATATATTACATATATATATATTGTGTGTGTGTGTGTGTAGTTTATTTGTCTGAGTGTTGATTCCTCATAAACTCTCAGATTTAACCCTTTACATATGCCATGTGCCCTTGCCCAATGGGCGTGTAACCAAGTGTAGTGTTTTAACCGTCATGTCTAAGCCGACAACGTGCATGACATGATTGTCTATGTTTGGAATCTGCCAGAAGTCGTACTAGACAGAACTTCCGCATGCCCCCACCTATGTATGAGAGTCTATAGTTGCGTGCAACACGTCGTTTTAACTTGTGCTCGGCTTGGATATACCTACAAATAAAAAACGTTGGATTTTGTCCGACTTCGGATACACAGGGATGCATAAACAAAACAAAGGTTACCTATCTACGCTGGATTCCCGGGAGCAGTGACCTATTTATAGCCGCGCACGCAGACGGAATGATGTACAAATACCACAAGGAACGGTTAGACCCCACAACAGCCATGAATTGGAAAGAAGCGGGGCGCAACGTCTTTAACGGGTATGTTAAGCGCCAGGGACACGCTTGTTGGATACATGTGCACAGGTGTATGTAGGAGTGCGTATTGAGATGTTCGGTACGTACCACTCTTTTTCACGGTTTAGCATTCAGATACTGTTTTTTGTTTACCTTCCAGATTTGCTGTCATGCACCCCCGGAAAATATCTAATCCAATCACTCGATGGAGGGTTGGCAAGGGATCAATTAATGGTAAGTGTGTTGTGTGGTTACATAATATATATTGTAAATATCCGTCCGCAATATATATATATACATATATATATAATTTCTCTGCTCTAGCAAATACTAACCGTTCAACTTCTCGTCTTTCTCTGGTTGGCAGCGTTTCAGTTTTCGCCAGACCAGCAAAGTGTGGCCATTGTGAGCCAGGACGGCTGTCTGCGTATAGTCGATGTGAAGGCTGACAGGTGAGTGTAGTTTGTGGGGTACTTAAAGAAAAGTTATCCCAGAATGCGGGTTACTTACTGTAAGGCACGGTCCTTCGCATCTTCCGAGCTTTTTATTCTGTTTATTTTTAGTTTATATACACATTCATTTCAGTAGGTACGTACAGTCGCATGCGGCTCATAGCCTACCGTGCATCTGTCGCTAACTTTCTTTCTTTCGCCGTGCAAATGTTCTGCCTGTACCGTACCGTCTCCTCTCAGATTAATCGTCACGCTGCAGAGCTATTTCGGTGCGTTGCTGTGTGTGAGTTGGAGTCCGGACGGCAAGTATATAGTGGTATGCGATTCTAATTGTCTGCAGATTTTATTTTACTTCATTTATGGCCACCAAGTGCTTCCGTCAGGGGCATGTATGGCAAGCAGTGGTTTGCGATTCTAATTGTCTGCGGACTTTATTTTAATTCATTTATGGCCACCAAGTGCTTCCGTCAGTGGCATGTGTTTGTGTTAACATATGTATCCCGCTGTTATACACCGCACGCATACCAATAAACACACATCCAACTAAACACACATCCAACTAAACACACACAACTACACACACGCACAACTACACACACGCACAACTAAACACACATCTAACTAAACACACACACAACTAAACACACATCCAACCCTTTGCTCACGACCTCTGTTTACCGATTAAACCCTTCCAGACAGGCGGCGAGGATGATCTTGTCTCCATCTGGTCAGTTGAGAACAAAGGTCTGGTCGCACGTGGAGAGGGCCATTCATCGTGGGTGGTCGCGGTGGCGTTTGACCCGTGGGTATGCGATGAGAAAAACCGGGTTTATCGCATCGGCTCAGTGGGCTTGGACCTACGGCTGCTGCTGTGGGACTTCAGCCTCCCGGGGCTCAGGATACCTCGGAAGGTAGTGGTGTGTGGGTGCGACATATTGTGCATAGTGCTATGATGTGTGTCTGTGCGGGCTGGACTCCGGCGTTTGATTAGTCCTTGTAACCCTAAAATGATCCCTAAAACCCTATACCCTAAAGTGGGAATATGGTATAGGCCCAGTGTGCAGGGATCGAAGGCTGCTGCTGTGGGACACACACCTTTCGTAGTGCCTCGAACGCCATTGGTTTGTTTACGACACGGTTTGGCTATACATAGTATGTATATGTGTATCTGAATGCTATGAGGTGGTCTTTGAGTTTTAATTGTACGATGTGAAGCACATTACATAGCCGAGGCGGGTCTGGACTCAAGGCCGGCGTTGTGGGAGTGCAACATTCAGTGGCGCAGGACGGTCGTAAATGGGGGGATGTGTGAAGTGCGTAATTTCGTCATTTGCGAATCAGAAAGTGGGGGTTGGCAAGTAGCAGTTGTGGGGCTCGTTGTGTGGTAGGTGTATAATGTGACATCTGTCTATGCGGAAATTCATTACCTTGGTCGATGCATTCCAAAGGCGTATCGTAACCAAAGTTGTCACTTATTTGTCAGCCAATATATCTCTCGGAGACGATTGGGTCCTTCGCCAATATCATCCCCCATCGCCCTCTGGCGGTGCTTTGTGCCACACGCTTACATTTTGATGTTTGTCCTCCGCATAGTATTGTATCGGTTGGGATCATTTCAAATCGTTTCATTCAAGAACAAATCGTGCGTTCTTGTTCTTTGCCGCGTATAGAAGCACCAAAACTTAACACACGCTGGGATCCTCACGTACCTTGTACTTATTACTCTTTCCTTGTGGGGTTTTACCTTTCATATATATATGTGTGTGTGTGTGTATGTGCATGTATCTGTGTGTCTGTGTGTCTGTATGTATTTATATATATATATTTATATATATGTATAT